AATAAGTCACTTTACTATAAAAACTGGATGGATAATGGTGTAGAGATATACCTGCGTCCCTGAATGTCATTTTATATCACACTTTCATTTCTGGTAACTGAGTAGTTCATTCTGTAAAGACGTCTCTAAAAAAGGAAACTCCTCTCCCTTGAACAACTGAGACATTCCACCCCCGTTTCAGACCCTGGAACAGTTTCAACCTTGTTCTCAGCATCTCTAGCTCTGGAAAGTGTCAAAAGAGACTTTTATGGTTTCCAAGACGACCTAAGTTCCAATAAATCTGAATAATATTGGAACGCCCTTTCTGTGAACCCCATAAATGGACTTTGAGTTAACACAGATCACGCAGGATGTCCTGGTATCACCTTGTACCAACCTCCAACCAGACTACAGTGGAACGATGCTGGTCCAACAGCTGTTAATGATAATGGAACCATTTTGCCATACACTGAATTTCTGACCAGGTTTAACACACCTGTAACACGCCTGTAACATCTAAAGAGCATGCTGTCGTTTCTGATGCTCTACCAAACTCCATGATGCAACTCTTCAAAGGAACAAACCTGATCGTTCATCTGGAGACCAGCTGAGAAGCCCCATAATGCTATAGGTGGAACGGAGATCACTAAAAGAACATGTTAAGAACATATGTGAGATTACTTTACCTCCCTGGAGAAATTAAATGGAAACAAGTTTGGATAAATGTGGAAATATTTTGCAGAACAAATAAAGTTAAAGAGGTTTCATATAAAATCGATCATAATGTATAACCGGTTAAAAAAAACACTGGAAAGAATTAAACTTGATATTGACTATTCTTGTACATTTTGTGAACTACACACGGAAACAATAATCTATTCTATCATTGTAATCACACAAACACGTTCTGGACAGATGTACAACAACTCATACGACAGAAAACTATTCAACTTACAGAGAAAGACATTATCTCATGCTTCGACGATAAGGAAATGGACAAAGACTTGATCTACTTCACCCAACTTCTACTTGTACTGGGAAAATTTCACATTCACAAGAAAAAGTGGTCAAACTCCAAACCAAGCATGACCCACTTCATCAGAACTTTACTCATACAGCACCGCTGTTAAAGGACTTCAGAACAACAAGGCAATGAAAACCCTCTCAGTTCTAGAAAAACCTAATGTGAATTTATCTCTATAACCTGCAAATAGATTGTTTAGTACCTTTTTAGACTTTTTATAATTATCTTGTTCTTTTTTACACCTATTACTTTTGTACCTGTTAATAAACAGACATGTTTGTAATGTTGATTAAAAACTAAAAAACCATGACCTATTTTTTTTTATTATTTACCAATCGTGAATATATATCAAACTAATAATAAATATGATTTCAATCTTGTTTATTTTTAGACTTTATTTCCTAAATGAGTTAGAACCAATAATGTTTTTTTGTCAAAGTCTGTGCGTGTCTTTCATCAAACTATTTTATGAACTAAAAGATTGTTTTACAAAACTCTAAATTTATTCATTAGCTGTACTGATCAGTTGAAGCCTACCCAACTCAAGATGGCCACTACAGCTAACAGACTTATTGGACAGATGTTGACCTAAGGTCTGGGGTGGTAGTAGCTGACACTCCTCCCCAACAACTATTCTGAGCACTAACAGACTACTCAAAATCTTGTTTGAACTTTTGACTTTTTGGAGTCAACTCTAACGGTTTAAAACGTATCTCAAGAACCACTGGGTGGATTTTTTTTGAAGCCATCAGGAAATAATTCATTTAATGTACTGGTTAAATAACTGATTAACGCTTTTGAGACATCCTCTTTCAAGATGGCCCCTCCAGCCAGCTGACTTTAGAAAACACGAAAAGGGCTATAATTTATTCAGTTTTACAAGAATTGTGCTTGTGACTGTATAGCTCCGCCCAATTTTTGGAAATGTTTGCTTAAAACTTTAGCATTAGCTGTTGAAGTTAAAAGTTTGTATGATAGTTAAATATCTCGTAAGCCAATGCATGAATTTTATACACCATTGACCAATACACTGACGCATAAAAAACATAAAATCAACAGATACTGGAAAAGCAATGAGCTGCCAAAATCATAAAACAGCAAACAGTAAAAAACAATAAAGCAAATAACTGAAAAACAGTAAAACCATCATTTTAAATTGAGTTAAAAGCCAAAGGAAAAAAAAGTGTCTTGAGAGAAGATTTAAAACAGGAAGTGATGTCAGAGGCAGCTCGTTCCACAGTTTAGGGGCAGACTTTGGAACGAGCAACAGCAGCTGATCTGCTGACCTGAGAGATCTGGAATCAAATCTGGAAACAAACTGGGAGCCAGTGTAGTGACTCTAAAACAGGGGTGAT